AACATCTAGATTACAAAAGTCAGAAATAAATGAATGCCAAAAGAAAATTGCAAAAGTTTCATGATATTTTTTTTGTTTTTCGAGTTTTTTTTATTAAAAATGTTTCATTTCCATTTTATGCATTTTTTAAGTTTAAGTTCATATATTTATTGCACTTGTATATTATCTTCACTCTTGCAAAACATATTCAGTTGATTTTTACGGCAAGACTCATATGAATCTCCGATGCTTTATAAAAATAAATAAAATAATAAAAAAAATAACAAAACGACTATAATTTTGAAAAATCACGTATCCACAGGCGTGAAAAATAGACTGTCAAACTAGACGTGGGCAAAAAAAAAGAGGGGTTAATTTCCCTCAAAAATGCCCATTCGCGGTTATATAACAATGGAAACTATATTGCAAGAAATGTCATTAAAAAATCAAGGCCGCATTCTATTAAAATAGCTGGCCAGCCGACCAGGAAAAGTAAAATAAACAATCTTTTTTCCGTTTATTGATTATTGCTACTTTGAAATTATCAGTGCTGGATAATGTCCAGTGCGAAAGGAAATGATTCAAACTCGTGAAGTTACGGAACCAGACAACAGACCCTCGTACAGGTTCAAGGATACATAAGTAAGGATAAGAAAAACACCGATGGATTCTGACAGAAAAACTGATGGAAAACATAAATATAATATTGGTTTAATTAAACAAGATATATTATTGTCAACATTTTTTTCGATTTTTCGCACAATTAATTTTACACAGTAATATTCACAAAATTGAAAACAACCACTTTAAGATATTTAAAATAACCTGTTTTTTAAAAATGTTAATCTCCACCCTTCCTTTCTCTATTCTTACCTCTTTACCTTTATCTATTTTTATATTTATCTTTCTTTCTATTTCTTTTTTAAATCACTCTCACTCTCTCTCTCTCTCTCTATCTCTATCTGTATTTTCCTCTGTCTCTCTGTCTATCGTCTATCTATCTATCTATCTATTTATATATTTCTCTATTACTTTCCCTCTACCTACCTATGAATCTATTCTTCTATTTATTTTCCTTCTCTCTCTCTCTCTCTCTCTCTCTCTCTCTCTTCTTTTTCTTATTCTTATTCTTCTCCTCGCTCTCTCCCTATTTTTCGCTCTATCTACGTGTCTATCTCACTACATCTATATCTCTTTATCACTTTTTTACTTCTTTATGTCTCTTACACTTACTCTCTAATTGTCATGTAAAATAATTGTATTTGTAATAATTACGTTTGTCAATGGTAATTTTTATTATAACTTGTACTTTATGCTGTAAATGATTCTGGTGTGTTAGGACTACTGTCGAAATTAATTTAAATTATCCTACAATAGTAAAAGGACATGGAAGGTTAGCATTTGTCATTCTTACTTCTACTTCTGGATTAATTCTCCGGCATTATGGTAATTGTGAGTAATTTAATATTTAGATTTGTCACAGGTGTAATGAAGTGCATTCAGAACAATCGATTCAGGATCAGATGTGTTTCGGGAAATTGTGTCAAGGACGATATCCATCAAGGGACTTGAACCGAAGGAATCAGACTTGTGATTTTCTCGAGGGAAAATCGTCGAGAGGGCGGAAGAGGAGTGATCTGCATTGAAAACTGTGACAACAATGAGCCGATTCTGCTGGCGGCAAGGTCGGCCACTATTGAATAGCACGCGCGCGTCCAACGTTCTATTCCATTTGTATTGCCTGGGGTAGTGGAATGATAATTGAGAACAACCCTGAACTTAAAGTTTGTCTTAGTCTTAATACTAGAAAGACGACACGATGAAATTGATTTAAAAGTAAGTTAGAATCATCATGACGAGCACAAAGGACCCAAATAATTAAATCAATTTCAACGCTGTAAATACAGCAGACAAACCTACGTACATACAAAAACACACAAATACATTTTATTATTTATTTTAAAAATGGCAAAAAAGAAGGAAAATTCGAAAGGTTGTAAGTTGAGATGGGGAGTTGGTGTCCGAGGGGATCGAATCATGATAGCTCAAGTGGTTAGAGCAGCGGCGTATTGAGCCGAAGGTCGTCGGTTCGAATCCCGCTTGTGACACTAACTTTTTCGATGTTGATTAGGATTCGGGTTGTGGTTTTCAAACGTACAATATTATTATATCAACGCCCAAGCTTTCGACAAGTTTTATTGCCTTCTCAGGGGATAGTTACGAAGTCACAACTTAAATACATTAAACAAATTCGTTTTATAGATATACACAAAACCTCTTCTTCATTAGCATCTTTCAAACGTGTGCATTTATAAAACAATAACAACTATTTTAAAATTAACAAAATCTTTAGGTACATATCACAAGCGTTTGACTGGAAAATGTCTGTTTAATAAAACAAAGTATAACTTCACTAACAGCTCCCCGTGGCCAATTCATATTTCGCCGAGAATCGAATCCTGATTTGACATTTGAAAAACGGCAAAAAGGAGGGAAAATTAAAAAAAAAAAGTGGGGTTGAGATAGGAAGTTGATGTCCGAGAGGATCGAAGTCACGAAAGCTCAACTGGTAGAGCAGCGGCGTATTGAGCCGAAGGTCGTGGGTTCGAATCCCGCTCATGACACTAACTTTTTCATTTCAACCGAAACGTTACATAAAAAGATTCCTATGGGTCATTGGCAAGAACGCTCGGATACGTGACAAATACAACCAAAGGCAAAAACCGGACACCCGTATTTATCTATTTCCCTTAAAAACTAGATATAAAAATTCATAGTTGACTTAAAACGTAAATACAACATTAATAATCGTTGTTTACTTTTATAGAGTGTTAATAATCCTTTTACAACTATTTAGATTAAAAATAAATAAAATAAGTTCAATTTCATCGTTTCCTGAGCTAACTTGTCGAGTGAAAAATTGTTTTTTCTTTTTTATTGCTTTCTTAAGGAAACAATAAATTTGAGTAAAAAATTATTTTTTTATTACAAGCAAGTCTAAGTCGAGATCTCGCTCGGGCATATGATTCGGCCAATTACGGTCTAGTATCGGTATGGTACCGAACTATTTATCACACAGAAAGGATCTTCCTGCACAAAGGTACATTCATTTTGTGGTCCCATAGGCTCCATTTATTGGAGATAAGTTCGTGTAAAAGGATGATAATGCTCGACCTTGGGCTGTAGCTTGAGTTGTCACGCATTACTTTGAGGATGTAGCGATTGCCCCAATGAATTGGGCAGTCCATTCTTTTGACATGAATCCTATAAAAAACTTATGGGACATGATAAAGAGTCGGACATGATAAGATTTGTTCGCCGCCACCAACAAATTTTGAACGGCTTTAAACTGTTCTTGTTGATTAATGGGATTCTGTTTCACAGGGCGAAATCGGGCCGATTATTTTCCCGATGCTTAGGAGACTTAAATGCTCCCTGCCAGATGAGGAATAGGCATTATTAAGAGAAAAACGAAGTAATTAATTGGTAGTTAAATTTTAATATATCACTAAATTGTTTTCCGCTGGTTTGGTGAATTTTTGTTGAAACCATGATAATAAAATAATTTTTGTTAAAACTCATGAATTTTTGATTTAGTTTAGTTTGGTTTACATTAAAAGTGGGTTAATAATATAATACATATAATATGGGTTAATATAAAGATGAAAATACAAAAGTTTGAAATAAACTCTCTCAGTGTACGGTTTTTTCTTTGAGGGTATTTTTCGACCAAGTATTAAAAAGTCGGTCGTCCTTCGTCTCCTTCTGTAAGTTGCCGTGTGATTTTCACATTCAAATAAAAAACTAAACTTAGAACTTTCAATTAATGAAGGTTTTTAGTTAGGATAAAAAAGTCAGTGTCACGAGCGGGATTCGAACCCAGACCTTCGGCTAAATACGCCGCTTCTCTACCACTTGGGCTATCGTGACTTCGATACTAACTTCCCATCTCAACCCATTTTTTGAATTTTCCCTCCTCTTTGCCATTTTCATTAATTAATTGAAAGATATTAATTGGTCAAGCGGACCACGAAAACTAGTGAGTTGAATAAGTTAAAATGAAGTATATCTTCACTGATTATTCAGAAATCGTGAGATGCGGTCTGGTGTGACGTAGGTTTCAGAAAAACATTTTCTTTATCGTGACAACGTTTCGATCTTTATTGACATCATCTTCAAGGCCTGGGATTTAGAAACATTGTTTAAATTTAACAAATAAACAAATACATGTAGGATGTGGAAAAAAGTGAATTTATACAATGCAAAAACATATTTTTTTAAAGTTTTTTTTTGTATTCAATCAACGTATTTCTACTCACTCAGTGTTTATTTTCTGCGTACTTTGAGGGAAAATAAAATTAAAACAAAAAATGTTTTTGCATTGTATAAATTCACTTTTTTCCACATGCTACATTTATTTATTAAATTTAAACAATGTTTCTAAATCCCAAGCCCTGAAGATGATCTCAATAAAGATCGAAACGTTGGCACGATAAAGAAAATGTTTTTCTGAAACCTACATCACACCAGACCGCATCTCACGATTTCTGAATGATCATCGACTAACAGACACTATTCACCACACATATATCTTCACTAAAGCTCTCCGTGGCCATTTCACTTGTCGCCGAGAATCAAATAGATTACACGACATTTGAAAAATGGCAAAAAGGAGGGAAAATTCAAAAGGTGCGGTTGAGATGGGAAGTATGTCCGAGTGGATCGAGGTCGCGATAGCTCAAGTGGTAAAACAGCGGCGTATCTAGCCGAAGATCGTGGGTTCGAATCCTTTTTTATCTCAACTGCAAACCTTAATTTACTCCTAAGTATTTTTAAAGTTTAAAATTATTTTTTCATCCGGCAATATTTTTGCTTTTTCCAAATTAAAATAGTAACAATATAGCAAACAAGTTATAGTCGTATTTAATAGCCTGGTATTAGATAGATTATAGTTGTTTGCAATTTTGAATCTTTTTGCAAATAAGATTGCCAGACAGTGTTTATTTTCCCTTGAATTCTCTCTCCCAGTCGCTTTTTGGGCGTATTTGAGTAAACTGCATTGCAAAATATATATAATAATAAAATGTGCCTTAGCGACAAAATTTGCAACTTCTTTGTTGAAAGCAACATTGCAGATGATGCAGCACTACAAAGTTACAGGTAAGTTTAAAAAGGATATTTTTTCCTAACAGAAAACTGTATTGTATGTCAAACATAGACCATATTACAATGCTTAACATTTGTATAATTCGATTAGTTTTGAATATCGTTTAGGTAGCAACGATATTATTATTATTATCATATTATCATGATATTATTATTATTAGCATAGTTTCAATACAAAACTTATTAACTTGTCAGATATCAAATTCCTGGGCCACTGGTTGGTGACTATTTATTCTGCGACACAAAATATATGATTGACTGATTCAACGTATGAACTTACAAAATAACTTACAAAATCGTCTATCACATGTTTTGACAGTATGGAATCAAACCTTGGTTTTATCCGTCCAACTGCCGAAGATAGGGGCTATCATCAAGTCGGCCATTTCAGCCCTGAACGCAATTAGTTTCTAAATCCAAACCAACTCACACATTAATTCTTAAATAAATTATTTTCCATTTACATTTACCCAAGTAGGGTGGTGGAGCATTCCTCAATCAACCTTTACACATATGTACCTAACCGAACGTTAAGGGCGCTCTTCACGGTAATAAGTACATTCAATCTAGACAAAAGGGAGATATTGATTATTATAGTATTAGTAATAAAACAGCCCTGTTTCCTCGAAAAATCGTATCGGGAACTCAGCGTATTCTATTGTGAAATTCTCCTTGAGTAATTTCCAAACCCCGGAATATTCTCCGCTATTTTAGGGGTAGTTGACCTATTTTTTAGGGTCCCTTTTCGCTAATCGCTCTAGATATTATTTCCTTTTCTGAGGAGACTGTGCCTTTTTAGGCTTTGCAGTCAAATAAGACATATTTCGATGTCTGCTTTTTGTTACAGAATTGGACGATTTTTGAATCAGCTTTTACAATTTTTTTTAATAGTAACTTCCATTAAACGACCATTTTCCTTAATTCCTACTTGCCGCGATGGAGGTAGATTTATGTTTGTCTGTTTGAGAAACGTTGATTGTTATGTGTGGTGATTAGTGACCGTAAATCAATAATTATTCAGAAATCGTGAGATACGGTCTCGTGTGATGTAGGTTTCAGAAAAACATTTTCTTTATCGTGCCAACGATCTTTATTGAGATCATCTTCAGGGCCTGGGATTTACAAACATTGTTTACATTTAACAAAACAATCCAAAAACTTTTTTCCAAAATTAATGATCCCACTCCAATAACAAATAAATCTGACGTAATCTACAAGATCAACTATTTAAACTGTCCGGCAACTTACATCGGTCTTACATCCCAATATCTGGATAAGAGAGTAAAGCAACATATTTATGATTGCAAAAAACCTAAGCAAAATCCTACAGCACTCGCTACCCACCATTTTGAACACCGACACAATTTCTACTTCAAAAATCCAAAAATATTACATACAGAACAAAACAAACATAAACGTAATTTCTTAGAAATGTTTCGACTTCAAAAATCCAAAAATATTACATACAGAACAAAACAAACATAAACGTAATTTCTTAGAAATGGTTTATATCAACAGAGGTAAACACAGCATCAATTACAGAACAGATACATGTTAACTTAGTCGCAGCTACGCCAATATCATTAATCACATTCAATATAGATAACATACATATATCATCACATCATATTCCACACATCAAATATTTTTAACATAGTCTAATTTTTCAACAATTTAGCTTTCCTTTTCCTATTTATCCCTTTCTATATAATTCTGAAAGGATAATCTGGCCGAACCATTACCAACACATTTTTTCCCTTCGTCGTCTCTTTTATAGCATAATAGCAAAATCTCACTGGCACTCTCAACACGACACACAAGAATGCCACAATTACACAGAAGACAAACACTTTGAGTGAGTAGAAATACTTTGATTGAATATAAAAAATATATTTTGCATTGTATAAATTCACTTTTCCACAGCCTAAATGTATTTGTTAAATGTAAACAATGTTTGTAAAGCCCTGAAGATGATCTCAATAAAGATCGAAACGTTGGCACGATAAAGAAAATGTTTTTCTGAAACCTACATCACACCAGACCGCATCTCACGATTTCTGAATAATTATTGATTGTTATGGACCTGTCGAATTCAATTGCTGTGTTGTCATTTGTTTTTCTATCCATCTGTAGATTGCCGCTTGTAGGACTCTTTGGAGCATGCCCTTTGCTAATTTGTCGCCATTTCAATCCTCTGAAGTTCTCGTGCCCACATTAAAGTTGCCAGATTTAGTTTTCTTAGGAGTTGTGGAAATGTTAGCCAGCCTTCAGTTGAGGTGGAGGTTCTAAGGTCTTCAGTGCCGCTTGACGTCTGAAAATTGTAATATTTATGTGCACACGTTTCTATTGCGTAGATCTCGCCTTGGAAATTTGATGTTGTGGGGTTTGGCTAGGTCAAAATTTAGGCCTTGATTCTTGCCCCTACTCCATGTATCATTTTGTATCAAGTTGAATATCATAATAATCATAATATCATAATATCATAATAAAGGGTTATTAGTTTCAAGGTTTTTGTTCTTCCAATCATCACGATTTTATTTTTATTTATTGCTTTTTTTCAGGTGTTACGGTATCTTAAAATAAATTATTTTTGGTTGTATTAAAAAATTCCTTACACTTTCTAGATCAATTCGATTAAACTTTGTAAGGGTGGTGTTTTAGAAATTTCTAAAAAATATTTTAATAAAACAAACCAGTTTCGGAGTGCTTTCGTTCAAGAATTAGAATTAAATTTGGGCCCAACAAGTAAAACAGATGGGTATAATAAATAATATCACAATTTGAAAAAGATAATTAATGGAACTCCTCCTTTTATATATTACTATACACAATATATACGTAAATAATACACATTACGCCCTACATAAGATGTCACAAAAAGCGTTCTCTTGAAAAATAGGGAATTTGCTCTTTTAGGTTGACTTATATTCTCTCTTGCTCTTTCTATTGACTCAATTTATTTGTAAACTTTCGTATATTAAAAATGAATAGATTGGAGATATTCAAAGTTAGCTAGTTTATTGTGATAAAAAAACTGTAGAAGTGCAACAGTTTTTAACAAAATTTTACCCAGTTACAATTTTTCTGTTTGATATTTAATCAAATTTCATAAAAACACAATTAGATGGAAATAGAATGCAAAGAGGATGGTTTTAATTATCTATCAAAGACGCCCTGGAAAATATATCAGAATAGAACCGTATTTTGACGGTAATTCGGTATACTTCGAAACGGTAATTTTCATTTTTTTCAATTAAATTACAGATCAATATTATTGATAAATAAAATTAAAAATAATTAAACGGTTTTCTTCTATAGATTAGAAGACAAAAGCGTTCGAATGCGACATTTTCATAAAATCGGCGGTACTTTATTGCATTTTACAATATGATCTGTATATCGGACTTATTTCTGTATTTTATTTTCCTGTCTGTCCGATAGATTTTTCACCAAATTCGTACGTTATAGCGTATATGCCTTTTTTTGTCAGATGGATTGGCTTTAATTATCTTTTGTCTAGTTGTTTTCCGATTGTGCTCTGGTCTTCAGTGCCGTTTTATTTACTAATTTTTCAAATTTTTGGTACTTTGTTTGTCAGTGTGAAAAAAAAAATACATATTGTACAGTAATCAGTTCGTTCGGTTGAAATGGTTAGAGAACATTTTGTTACAAATTTTTCTTTGTACGCGTAAACACGATGTTAACAATTTAATTAGGAACTGAAATAATGTAAAACACGTTAGTTATTATCTTCTTCCTTAATTTATTATTCTGTTTCACGGGTCGTTACAGACACAATCGGATTCTATTTTTTAATGTTCGGATGCACTGAAACGTAACATGTATTAATTACATATTCAAAACAAGTTATAGCTATGTTATGTAATACATTAAAATATTAATGACGTTATTGATAAAGAAAAAATATTTTTAATGCTTCCTCCAAAACACCAGTGGAAACATTGTCAACTACCAGTTAATTAAGGTTTTTAGTTGAGATAAAAAAGTCAGTGTCACGAGCGGGATTCGAACCCACGACCTTCGGCTAGATACGCCGCTACTCAACCACTTGAGCTATCGTGACTTCGAACCACTCGGACACTAATTTCCCATCTCAACCTCACCTTTTTGAATTTTCCCTCCTTTTGGCCATTTTTCAAATTCGTGTAATCTATTTGATTCTCGGCGATAAATGAAATGGCCACGGAGAGCTTTAGTGAAGATATACTTCATTTTAACTTATTAAAGTCACTAGATTTCGAGGTCCGCTTGACCAATTAATATCTTTCAATTAATCAGGGTTTTTAGTTGAGAAAAAAAAGGCCGTGTCACGAGCAGGATTCGAACCCACGACCTTCGGCTAGATATACCGCTACACTTCCACTTGAGCTATCGTGACTTCGATCCACTTGGACACTAACTTCCCATCTCAACACCACTTTTTTGAATTTTCCCTCCTTTTTGCCATTTTTTAATGGCTTTTTATCTCAACTAAAAACCTTAATTAATTGCAAGATATTAATTGGTCAAGCGGACCACGAAAACTAGTGAATTGTCAACTAAATTGCAATGTCTATACTCTATATCGTAAATAATAATAATAAATCATCACAAATGTATTGATTTTTGCATAAAGTTTAGTTTCTGACCAGTTTTTCAAGTTTTATTTTATTCACTTTTTGACATAATAAAACAATGTTTATTATCTACCCACTGAATACTAACGGAGGTAAAAGCAAATCCTTTTCCCCAATAAATGGCTTCTTTGTTCAAAATCTAAAAATCCTTTTATCATTACTATTTCCGCATACGTTTTCAACAATCTTTAAGAAATTGTTAGTGGAAAACCTGATGAAAAATCAATTTTATCGTTGCTCAACCGACAACGCCTTCACACTACGATATGCGTCACACTCGAATGAACTATTGTATTTATTCTTCCTGTTGAGGTGCCTTGTGTTGCAATCTCTTGCTTCTCGGATCGCTCATTAAAC